TGAAAAGATTATAAACATCACTAATCATTAGGGAAATACAAGTCAAAACCACAGTGAGGGGCTTCCCTGGTGGCGCAGTGGTTAAGAATCTGCCTGCCAAGGCAGGGGACACGGGTTCGAGCCCTGGTCCGGGAAGATCCCACATGCTGCGGAGCAACTAAGCCCGTGAGCCACAGCTACTGAGCCCGCATGCCACAACTACTGAAGCCCTTGCACCTAGAGCCGGTGCTCTGCAACAAGAGAAGCCACCGCAACGAGAAGCCCACGCACTGCAACAAAGAGTAGCCCCCGCTCGCCGCAATTAAAGAAAGCCTGTGTGCAGCAAAGACCCAATGCAGCCAAAACTAATAAACAAATAAATTTATTTAAAAAAAAAAACACGGTGAGATACACCTCATACCCATTAGGGTGACTACTATAAAAATAAATAAATAAATGAAATAAAAAATAACAAGGGCTGGTTAGGATAACCTTCTTGGAACTCTTGTGCACTGTTGGTTGGAATGTAAAATGTTGCAGTCACTGCAGAAAACAATATGGTGGTTCCTCAGAAAACTAAGAATAGAATTACCATATGATACAGCAATTCCATTTCTGGACATATAACCAAAAGAATTGAAAGCAGGGTCTCAGAGAGGCATCTGTACACCTGTGTTCATAGTAGCATTATTCATAATAGCCAAAAGGTGGAAGCAACCCAAGTGTTCACCAATGGATGAATGGATAAACAAAATGTGGCATATACATATAATGGAACACTATCCAGTCTTAAAAAAGAAGGAGATTCTGACACATGCTACAATATGTATGAACCTTGAGGACATTATGCTAAGTGAAATAAGCCAGTCACAAAAGGGCGAATACTGTATGCTTCCATTTACATGAGGTACTTAGAGTAGCCAAATTCATAGAAACAGAAAGTAAAATGGTGGTTGCCAGGGGTTGGGGGACGAGGGGAGGAGATTTGATGTTTAACAGGTATGGAGTTTAAGTTTGGAAAGATGAAAAAAGTTCTGGAGATGGATGGTGGTGTTGATTGCACAGCAATGTGAATATATTTAATGCCACTGAACTGTACACTTAAAAATGGTTAAGATGGACTCCCCTGGTGGTGCAGTGGTTAAGAATCTGCCTGCCAACGCAGGGGACATGGGTTCGAGCCCTGGTCCGGGAAGATTCCACATGTTGAGGAGCAACTAAGCCCGTGCACCACAACTGCTGAGCCTGTGCTCTAGAGCCCACGAGCCACAACTACTGAGCCCACATGCCACAACTACTGAAGCCTGTGCACCTAGAGCCCATGCTCCACAACAAGAGAAGCCATCGCAATGAGAAGCCCGTGCTCTGCAACAAACAGTAGCCCCCGCTCACTACAACTAGAGAAAGCCCGCGCGCAGCAACGAAGACCCAATGCAGCCAGAAATAAATAAATAAATGTATTATTTTTAAAATGGTTAAGATGCTAAACTTTATGTTATGTGTATTTTATCACAGTTTAAAAAATTATGTTCAGTGAAAGAAACAAGACACAAAAGATTTGTGATTGTATGGTTTCATTTATATGAAATGTCCAGAATAAGCAAATCCAGAATGAGATTAGTGGTTGCCTAGGGCTGTCAGGGACAGATAGGGAGTGAATGCTAACAGTCACAGGGTTTCTTTTTGGGGTGATCGAAATATCCTAAAATTAGATTGTGGTGATTTTTGCACAAGCCTATAAATACACTAACTACCATTGCCTTGTACAACTAACTTGGGTGAATTTTATGGTATGTAAATTATATCTCAATTAAGCTACTTTTATAACTACATAAAGTTAGTAACTGGGACTTCCCTGGTGGCGCAGTGGTTAAGAATCCACCTGCCAATACAGGGGACATGGGTTCGAGCCCTGGTCCAGGAAGATCCCCCACGCCGTGGAGCAACTAAGCCCGCGCGCCACAACTACTGAAGCCTCCGCACCTAGAGCCCGTGCTCCACAACAAGAGAAGCCATGGAATGAAGACTAGCCCCCGCTCGCCACAACTAGAGAAAGCCCACACGCAGCAACGAAGACCCAACGCAGCCAAAAATAAATTAATTAATAAATTAATTTTAAAATGATAGTAACTGATTTTAACCTGTAAATTATGAGTCCCACAACTGATACAAATAAACAAATGAATAAATAAATACATGGGGAAGAAGAGAAAGCCTTTTCTCACAGTAGAATCCCAGCTATACATGTAAAAGAAAATCATCACATGGCCACCATCATAGTAGTAATTGCTTCAGGCAAGAATCACCAATGGATGCTAAACTGGTGAGTGGAAGTTTGACGAAAAATAGGAAAGATACATAATCTCAAAGTATGTCCCTACAAGATACTTATTAATTACAAAGGGGAAAGTTACATTTCGGTGGAGAAACCTGGAAAACACCACCTTAATCGAATGATCAAAGCTAATACCAACAATTTGGAATTAACCAATGCTTTGTGCTTCCGGATACACTGAGGAGAACGCAACGTCACTTCTGTGGAATTCCTGCCCAAAATGCATAATCCAAATCTAATCTTGAGGAAACATCAGATAAACCCAAATTTAAGGACATTCTTCCAAAGCACTGACCTGTGCTCTTCGAAAAAACATCAAGATCGCTAAAGTTATTGGAAGATGGAGACATTGTTCCAGATTGAAAGAGACCAAAAAGACCTGATAAAGGAATGCAGCTCGTGACCTAGGATTTCCTTTTCCTATAAAAGGACAGTATTGGCACACCCACTAGGATGGCTAGAATCAAAGAGTCAGATAACAAAGTGTTTGTGAAGATGTGGAGAAATTGGAACCCTCATACTCTGCTGGTAGGAATGTAAGAAAATGTCCTTGTTCTTAGAAATTTTATACTGAAGTATTTCATTGAAAGGGCATCACACCTGCAACTACGATCAAATACTTTAGAAAAAATTATAGATAGATAGATAGATAGATAGATAGAGATATACTGAGAGAAAAAGAGAGACAAAATGAGAGACAGAAAACATTATTCTGAGGCTTGGCAATTTTTTTTTTTTTGTCAATCTAATAAGCAAAGAATGGGATCTCTTTGTCTTAATTTTCATCTTTAATTATAGGGAGACCATTTAAAATGTCCTAGAAACTATAACCCAGAATGACTACAAAGGCTATAAAGTCTGACAGATATTTATTGAGTGCCCACTCTCTACTAAGCTCCAGTGGTAAAAATATGAAACATCACACCTAACAGATATGAAATCATATCTGTTGTTTTAATTTTGCATTTCCCTGATAAAGAGCTTGAGTTATCTTTTCATATATTATACGTATTGGCCATTTCAAGTGACTTCTGCCGTGGATTACCTATTCATGTCTACTGTCCATTTTCTAGTGTATTGTTTGTCCTTTTCTTATTGATTTGTAGATGCCCTTTATATGTCCTAGAATCTAGAGACTAGTTCTTTGTCACACACATCAAAAGACTAGATGGAAACAATCAAGTCTGTGAAGCTCAGGGTACACATAGTGAGGATCTTCCAGTTTTAAATGCCAGGTCTTGCAACCAAAGGAAATATTTCTTGCTTGTGCTGTGGGTCATTGTTGACTTGATTTGAGTATGTTTGAAAACTGAGGGAAAAATTAGAATGAAGTCTAAGTCATAAAATGTATGGCCTGTATTCTGCTGTTAAGGAAAGGAATTAATAGTTGTGCATCTGGCCTATGTAATTATCCATTACAGTTGACCACTGAACAACTGAGGAGGGTCTCAATCCATGTATAATTCATAGCCGGCCCTCCATACCCACAGTTCCTCTGCATCCCAGGAATCAACCAAACAAGGACTGTGTAGTACCGTAGTATTTACTATTGAAAAATATCCACCTATCAGTGGATTGTGCAGTTCAAACCTGCGTTGTTCAAGAGTCAACCGTTAAATATTTTTCATTTGTAATATACGCATATTCACTTATGAGTTAAAACTCCATTTAACTTCATGTTAACATTTTTTTAAAGAGAGGAGACATGCATTCCTCTTCAATTGCCATTGGTATTTCTAAGCAAAGAACTGCTAATCCCACACTTTTGTTTAACAGAAAGGGACACTGAAGCCCGGGGAGTGGGCATGGCTTGCCCAGCTCCATACAGGCAGGCATTAATCTGATTAGAACCTGTTTTCCTTAGCTCCTCAGGTCAGGGTGGGGTCCAGCTTGACCTTGGCTTCCTTCTCCCTTCCACCTGATAGCTAAGTAAGTATGCAGTCCGTGCCCAATAAATGCTCCTTTGGAAAAAGGCCCTTCATCAGCCTAGGGACAGAGCGGAGTGTCCAGACACTGCAGGGTAGGGTAGGCAGACAGCAAGTGCTGCATAAATCCTCAGAGTTGGTGCAGATAGGGCCCAATACAAACCATTGTTGGGGACGCTGTAAGTGCTTTATAAATGCTCCCAATCGGTGCTCCGTACTAGCCTCCGGAAGGAGTCCCTAGGGGAAAGCACAGGCGCCTAATTCTTGCTCCTAGGTGACAGTCAGTACTGGTGTTTCTGGCCGGTCCCTGGTGCTGGAGAGGGTTGGAAATTCCCATAGCTCCTTCAAAGGATGGGAAAGGAGAGACCTCGGTTTATTTTCCCATCTGTGAAAAGGGGGCACAACAGTGACACTAAGACGTGCGCGGGTGGGCAGTTTCGGGGGCGAGGCTGATGGCTGGGGAAACGGACTTTCCTCCCTCCCCCATCTTTCCCATCTCGGCTTCCAAGGATTAGGAATTTGGCGTTTGGACAGTTTGTTCTTGGACGGCCATAAGACCTCCCGACGCGACCCTTCAGGGACTGGCACACCAAGAGGTTGGAAAGGTGCGGGATCCAACGTTCCACGCGCCGACGTCCTCCGGCGCCCGGCTCCTCTCAACCTCCCGCTCCTCCTTCCCTCAATCCTCCCGCTCCCCTCCTCCTCCGTCCCCGCCCCGCTCCTGTCCTCTTATTGGCCGAGCGGGCCGGCCGGGCCTCCCCGGGATTTAAAGGGCCCGCTCTCCGCGCCGCCCTGGGAGCCGCAGCTGGTCCCGGCCTTGCGGCCTGCGGGGGAGGCTGCCCGGAGGAGGCGGCGACGGTGGCGGCGGCTGTACGTCCCCGGCCCCCTGGACCGCAGCTTTCTTACTGCCAGGTAGGTCGCCGGTAGTGCACGTGCGGCTCTCCCGCTCGCATCCTGAGCCGGCCTCCCCTTGCGGGTCTGCAGCGCGTGTGCTAGGGCCCCCTCTCCATCACCTTTCCAACTCTCCCTTCTGCTGTGTCCCTTTCCACCACCTCCACCTCCCTGCAGCCCCCGGGCCTGGGCAGGGCTTTGTTGGCGGCCGGGAGAGGCCGGGTGGGGGTGGGATGGGGCGCGCGGGGGATACAGGACACCCCCCACATCCGTTCAAGGAGAGATGCACATGGCCCCCAAGTGTCACAGGATCTCCCTCTCTGCCTTCCACACTGAGTGACTCTACCTCGGAAACCAGGGAGCCCCCCAATTTGATATACGGGCCTACAATGTACACCATTCAATCACTATTGGACCCGGACTGTTCCCAGCATACAAGAAACACAGGTCCTTCATTCACCGCAGGTCATGGGCTGTGTGTGTGCACCCAGAACACCCAGACACACACAGCTGGCGGCTCAATCTGATGTACCTGACACTCACACCCTCCCTCAGCCCCCCAGTACCCTGTCTCTACAAGGGTTGGACAGCCCCAGACTGAAATCTGAGTGCTCAAGTCCATCTCTTGAGCATCGTCTGCCCCATGGACATCCCAACTAAGCTCCTTCTATGTCCCCCCTTTGGCAGGTCTATCCATCTGTCCATCCATCCGTGGGGGTCCACAATGGCCACCTTCAGCCGCCAGGAATTTTTCCAGCAGCTGCTGCAGGGCTGTCTCCTGCCTACTGCCCAGCAGGGCCTTGACCAGATCTGGCTGCTCCTTGCCATCTGCCTCGCCTGCCGCCTCCTGTGGAGGCTTGGTAAGTGCCTGCCACACCATGGGCCACCACGCCAGGCCAAATCACACCTGCCACGTTCATCCATACCAAGCCCCACTTTATCCTGCCACATCTTGCCAAGCCAAACCAGGCTCGTACACGTCCAGCCTACCACAGCCCACCAGGCTAAGTGCCATTCTACCACACCACGTCCCACTAACCCAGCCACCCCATGCTACACCACACCAAGCCACATCCTGCCATGCCAAGCCATACCTTTCCATATCCCTGGGTTCTGGGACTGTTGAAAGCTAAGGCTCTTGAATCTTGGGATCCTGAAATACCTACATCCCAAGGTTATAAGATTCTGAAATGCTGATGTCACAGGGTTATGGAAAGTACCATGTATCCCAAAGTGCCGTGTTATGGGGTTTGGGGATTCTGACAAGTTGAAATTCTCACATTCCAGGCTTCCAAAATGCTGGCATTCTGGATTTCTGGAATAAGGCATGATAAAATCTCTGGATTCTAGGATTCTGGAATGTTTCCAGAAATCGTGGCAAGCCTATATCCAAACAAGATCCCAAGTACCCGAGATCCCCATGGGATGCTGAGAATTTTGGAAATCTGAGATTCAGAAGTTCTACACTTTCTTTTTTCTTGTTCTTTTATTTTAAATGGATGTTTTATTTTTTCCCCAGGTTTATCATTTTGAAAAGTTTCAAGGTTACTGAAAAGCTAAGTTGAAAGAATAGTACAATGAACATCCATATATGCATCAACCGATTCTCCAACTGTCAACATCTTGCCACATTAGCTTGCTCTATCTACCTATCTACCTATCTATCCGTCCGTCCATCTGCCTATCTATCTATCTATCTATCATCTTCCTGAATCACTTGAATAACCTGCTGACACTTCATCCCAAATCCTCTTGCGTGTGTCCCCCAAGAACAAAGACATCTTCCCCCCACAGCCATAGCCTCAACCATCACCCCTCAGGAAATTTAATCTTGATGCCATAATATTATTCAATGTAAGTTATTCACATTTCCTCCAGGGTTCCCAAAGTGACCTTTATAGATGTCTCTCTTCTTTAAACCCAAGCCCTGCCACCTCCCCAGCTCCCCAACACCTGCTTTGGGCCCCCTGCAATCCCACCACGTTCCAACCTCTGAGCCTTTGCCTGAGCTACGTCCTCTGCCCAGGCTGCCCTTCTACCAGCCCTGCTCTAATTCCCTTTCTTGTTCTCTCTTTCTCTCACCCAAAGGGTTGCCATCCTACGTGAAGCATGCAAGCACCGTGGCAGGCGGGTTCTTCAGCCTCTACCACTTCTTCCAGCTGCACATGGTTTGGGTCGTACTGCTCAGCCTCCTGTGCTACCTCGTGCTGTTCCTCTGCCGACATTCCTCCCATCGCGGCGTCTTCCTCTCCGTCACCATCCTCATCTACCTACTCATGGGGTATGGGTGTGTGTCCTCATCCCCACGCTGTTAGCAGAAGGGCGGGGGGATCCCCAGGCCGCCCCTCCTGAGGCTGTCCAAGACAGGGAGGACGTGGGGTGTTTCTGGAGGAGGTGGAAATCTGGGAGACTTGTTCTTTCCGAAGGCTACACAGAACAGTCTGGACTTGAGCTCCCCCTGGAGGAGGGAGCCCTGGAGAACTATTCCTCCATGAGGTTGTGCAGGGCAGGGAAGGGTATACCCTCTCTGCACCTTGGTTTCCCCCCTTTGTGGTATCTGAGGCCAGAGGAGTCATAGGGCCAAGACCACCACCTTTTTCCTCAGTGAGATGCACATGGTGGACACCGTGACATGGCACAAGATGAGAGGTAGGCAGCCCTGGCCCTCTCCCCTGCCCCAGCCCTCCAGCCCCACTCCACATCTCCTAACTCCCCCCACCCTGTCTTTCCTTCCCCGCTTTTCTCCCTCATCTGCCTAGCCCACTGGACACGCAGCCCTTAGATTCCCCTTACATCTGTGTTTCTCTCTACCATGTCTCTTCCCCATCTGTCTGTCCCATCTCATGTCCATGCCTGACTCTCTTGAGTCAGGACATCTGCCAGTCCTGGGCCTACCTGCTCAGCTGCCTGTCTGGCCCCATGCCCACCTCTCCACACTTGCTCTTCTTTCTTACCACCTCTCACCTGGTGTTCCCTATACCCCATGATGACCTGCTCTCTGCTCATCCACTTGACCATGGGCACCACACCTAGGGGCCCAGATGATTGTGGCCATGAAGGCGGTGTCTCTGGGCTTCGATCTGGACCGGGGTGAGGTGGGTGCAGTGCCCTCGCCCGTGGAGTTCATGGGCTACCTCTACTTCGTGGGCACCATCGTCTTTGGGCCCTGGATATCCTTCCACAGCTACCTACAGGCCGTCCAAGGCCGCCCGCTGGTGAGGTCCTGGGTGGACAGGTGGGCAGGGACCATGGGAAGCCACCATGGGGCAGTGTTCATGGAGCCTTGATCCCCACAGAGCCGCCGATGGCTGCAAAAGGTGGCCCGGAGTCTGGCGCTGGCCCTGCTGTGCCTCGTGCTGTCCACCTGTGTGGGCCCCTACCTCTTCCCGTATTTCATCCCCCTTGATGGTGACCGCCTCCTTCGCAAGTGAGCACAGCCTTCGAGGCCTCTGCCCAGCAGTGAGGGGGGTGGGGAGGGACCTGGGGTCTCCCCAGCTCTGAGTTGTCTCTTAATGCTTCTGTCTGTCTTCTGTTACTACAGCAAGAAACGCAAAGCCAGGTAAATGAGGGCAGGTGCTGAGGGCGAGTGGGGCTGAATGGGGGTGGGTGCACAGTCTGTGACTGATTGGTTCTGTGAGTCTGAGACTGTCTGACCATCCACCCAGTGACTAGACAGAGACTGAGTGTCTGTGGCTGTGGTTTGACCAAGATTGGCCCTATGACTCCGTGTACAATGGATACTCCGTCACATACTGTGCCTGGCTGTCCGTCTGTTCTGCTATTTCACCATCAGAAGCAAGTTATGTGACTGCAGTGCCACAAGTGTGTGTTGGTTGGTGACACTGACCTGTCTGTGACTCTAGCTAGGGGTTTGTATAGGTTGTTTACCTATCAGCCAGGGACTCCTGTGTGGGACTGGAGTTCTGGCTGTCTGGCTGGGCGGTTGTCCATGATGGGAGTATGTGGCTGTCACTGGATAGGATAAATCTGGCTTGTCTGTAACCCTGGCTGGGAATGGGTCTGACTGTCGCGTGTCGTGCGCATGTCTGTGATGGATTCTGCCTGTGGGTCTGCCTTCTCTGGCTCCTTGGTATTGTCTAGCTGAGGGGCAGAACCGACCATCCACCCGGGTGTGACTAGGATTTCATCCAGCTATTTGACTGTATGACTTTCTCCCCTACTCATTGGCCGCTGATTGTGTCTGATGCTGAATGAGGCTCTGAAGGGTGGAATGACTTGCCCAGTGTCACCCAACTAAGCAGCCAGGCACTAATCCCAGGCCTGAATCCAGAACCTATGCTTTTTTCAGTGTAAGACGCTGCCTGTCTTTGACCGTGTCTGACTGTACAACTGACAGGATGACTATCTGCAGAATTGTGTGTGCATGCATAACAGGGTGCTTGATGGTCTCTGTGCCTAACTAAAGGACTTCCGGGTATCTTATGGTCACCGAATCAGGTCAGAGAGATTGGAGTCTGATAGTATGTGTGTCTGGCCATGTGGCTGTGAGGTCAGCCTCTAACAGTCCCTGGGTCTGGATGTCTGGCCACATGAAGCTGCGGGACTGTGTCATATTATGGGGCAGCTCACACATCCATTTGAGCTACCTGAAACTAACTGATGGTGTACGGATGGATAGATGTGTGGGACTATCACAGCGCACCTCTTTTGCCACCATATTTGTCTGTCTTGTTGATGAACAACTCAGGCCAGCCTCCAGGGCCTCTCTGACTCTCTTTCCTTTCTTCTCTGCTGCCTTCCTGACCCCTAGGGGCACCATGGTAAGGTGAGTGAGTCTACAGAGCGGGGCCAGGGATGCTGGCACATGGTGGGGTGTCATGCTGGGGCCTGGGCGTGATGCCTCTCTCTCCCTGGCTCCTTTCCCGCAGGTGGCTGCGAGCCTATGAGAGCGCTGTCTCCTTCCACTTCAGCAACTATTTTGTGGGCTTTCTGTCCGAGGCCACGGCCACGTTGGCAGGGGCTGGCTTCACCGAGGAGAAGGATCACCTGGAATGGTGGGGAGGGCTGGGGGGCCCCATCTCCCACAGGGTGCTGCCTAGAGGAGCTGCAGGGAGGAGGGGGGTGTTCCTGGGGAAGGGAACAGCCAAGAACAAAAGTGTGGCCATCAGGTGGGTTGAAATCCCAAATGAGTTTGTGTGTCTCTTTTGCCCATAGGGACCTGACGGTCTCTAAGCCACTGAACGTGGAGCTGCCCCGGTCCATGGTGGAAGTTGTCACAAGCTGGAACCTGCCCATGTCTTATTGGCTAAATAACTGTGAGTCACCAAGTCACCACTCCAAGAGAGCTGGCAGTCCTCAACCCACACCCTTTTCACACATTCATACAACAAGCTGAAGATAGTAGGGACCAAAAAATCTCCCAGATCCCTGCCCTTGTGGAGTTGACATTTTTGTGGGGGTAGCAGTATAATAAAAAGAAAATACACAATAGTTCAGGTAGTGATAAGTGCTATGGTAAAAAATAAATAAATAAAGCAGGTAAAGATGATCTTGGAGTGTTAGGAGTGTGTGAGTAGGGGTGGATGCAATTTTAAATACATCATCCAGAGCAAGTCTCACTGAGGAGCTAACGTTTGAGCAAAGACCTGAAGAAGGTGAGAGAGCAATCAATGCAAACACGTAGGGGAGGAATTTAACACATGGAAGGAACAGCAAGTGCAAAGGCCCTGAGGCAGGAGCATACCTGGCACATTTGAAAAACAGTGAAGAGACCAGTGTGGTGGGATCAGAGTGAGCGAGGGGACCAGTGGCAGGAGGTGAGTTCGGAGAGGTGACGGGGCCTGGTTCTGTAGGGCCTCTCTGGCCACGGGGAAGACTGGCTTTTTCTCTAAGAGAGATCTCAGAGCAGGGTTCTGAGCAGAGGAGGGTCATGGGCTGACTTAGGTTGTACCAGGACCCTCTGGCTACTGTGAGGACAGACGGGGAGTCGGGGAGGGCAGAGTGGAAATGGGGAGGAGAGGTCAGATTCTGGATAAACTCCGAAGATAGAACTGACAGGATTTGCTGAGTTTGGTTATGGGCGTTGGGGGTGGGGGGCAGATCAAGGGTGATAGTGAGGCTTTTGTCCTGAGGAACTGGAAGGGTGTAGTTGACACTGGCTGCACTTGGGAAAGACTATGGGAGGAGCAGGTTGGGAGGGAATATCAGGAGCTTTTAGACAATGTGAAGTTGGAGGCCATTATAAAGAGACTTCATCCTGGGGACCCCAAGAGGTTGTGGGTATCCTCACCCTGCCCTATGGCCCTCCAGGAAGGGCAGGGGGGAATCTCAGGAGACACTTGTCCCACATCTCCCCCCTGCAGATGTTTTCAAGAATGCTCTCCGCCTGGGGACCTTCTCAGCTGTGCTGGTCACCTATGCAGCCAGCGCCCTCCTGCACGTGAGCAGGGCGGAGCAGGACCAGGGTGGTAGCTGGTTGGGGGTGGTAGGGCCTCCTCCTCACTCACCTCATTGCCCCCCACCCCCACCCCAGGGCTTCAGCTTCCACCTGGCTGCGGTGCTGCTGTCCCTGGCGTTTATCACTTATGTGGAGCACGGTGAGGGCGGAACCCAGCCCAGTAGATGGGATGGAAGGTTGGTGGCGGGCTGGAACCACCGTCCCCTGAGGCTAACCTGACACCCTTACCTCTGCCCCCCCCCCCCC